CCATTTTGGGCAATAAAACAGATCCTGGGCTTTTCCAATTAGTATCCAATCAGTTATTCCAGCATGTGGCAGACCAGGTTGATAAGAGTGAGGTACTTGATTAGATGTTATATTGAAATCTACAATGAAAAGATCAATGACCTCCTGGATAAGAGCAATCAGGGTTTAACTATGAGAAGATATCAAAGGAAATGTGCTGCTTGATGCAAGGGAAGCTGTCGTAGACAATGTTGATAAAGTTATGGAGAACATGATGCAGGGCAATAAGATCAGACGAGTTGCAGCTACTCGCATGAATGAGAGGTCATCTCGATCACACACGATTTTCCGGATTATTCTGGAGTCGAAAGATGCCAATCAGAAAGATGGACCTGTACATATAAGCTACCTTAACTTAATGGACTTAGCTGGTTCTGAGAGAGTTTCTCTGACGAAAGCTGCTGGTGAGCGTCTTAAAGAGGGGGCTAACATAAACAAATCTTTGTCAGTATTAGGAAATGTGATAAGGCAACTAAGCGAGGGGAAGGAGTTTATCAGTTATCGCGATTCGAAATTGACTAGACTGCTCTCACAGGCTCTTGGCGGTAATGCCAAATCATTGATTATCGGGAATGTTACTTTAGCTGCAGAGGAGGAGACTAGATCTACACCAGAATTCGCCCAAAGCACTAAAACTGTCAAAAATAAAACGAAAGTAAACATCTTGTCAGCTACAGAAGAGACACTTCAAGGATATCAGAACTTGACTCGCGATCTCGAAACTCGGCTCAAAAAGCAGGCAATTAAGCTAAAAGAGATGGATAAAAGCAAACAAGAGTATCTGCTCGAGATAGAAAGACTAAAAACGGAAGTATCTATTGTCGGGCGCTTTCAAATGGGAGCCTCGGCATCAACACCGAAAAAAACATTAAGACGTCATACTTTTGGACACTATGGCAACGTATCACCTAAAAAAGCATCCCTAGGGTATATGCCATTGAAAAATTATCCACCCAAAGAAGAATCATCCGGACGTGAAATGAGGCCTATTCAAGAAGAGACATATGAGGAGGCACTAGCCGAAGCAGAATCTGTGATAGCTGAAGACGTGCAAGTGTACTTAAAAGACAACGCAAAGAACTGGAAGAATCTTTCAATGAGCTTAGAGAATTCACTAAACTAGATAATCAGCTGGAGATTTTGGACCTGAAGAAACAGCTCACAGAAGCCAATTCTAAATCGATCGTTACAGTCAGGAACTCCGCCAAGTAACGGATGCGTACAACGAAGAAATAGAAAGAGTTCAAAAAAATTCTCAAAAAGCGCAAGAATTTCATCGACTTGCAATACAGACTCGATTTTCTGGAAAAAAATAATAAAAAGACTAAAAACATACGAGTCAGAAATAGAGATGCTGCGTACTCAACTGAAGAACCTAGGAAGATCAGAGAGCCCTAAACCATCTCTTGAAGCTCAAAATATTGAGTCAAAAAAGAAGGTTGCAGACTTAGAAGCTATGCTTGACGCTGAGTACGAAGATATGCAAGATTCTTTAAGTGCTGCTACACAAACTGATGTAACGATGTCACACATTGCTGAACTGCAAGATGAAATTGGCTTCCTAAAAGAACTTGAATCTAAACTGAGAAATGACGTAAAGAGTCTGATGGACGAGAGTAACCAACGTGAGGTCAACCACTCATTTAAAATCTCAGATATACGATGCCATAATGATTCTACTATAAAAGAGCTTCAGGATCAAATGGCTGAACTGGAATGCCAAAACGAAATCTGGATTATGAAAAGTGCCCCTCTTTATAACCCGTGAAATAGCCCTAGTTCTAATTAAATTTCAGTTCAAGCTTCCAAAATGACTTCCGACAATATTAAAGTAGCCACAAAGATCAGACCAATGATCCACCGCGAAGTAGCCGATGGTCTAGAGCGTCTTTGGAACGTAAGAGTAAACTGCATATGGGAAGCCGATGAAAGTAGTCGCCATGGAGAGGTTTATATATTCGACCATGTATTTAAGCAGGAATGTACAAATTCAGATGTATATGGATCTGTAGTAAAACCTTTAGTCGATTCCTTCATGGAAGGTTTCAATGCCACAATATTTGCATATGGCCAAACATCTTCTGGCAAAACACACACCATTTTGGGCAATAAAACAGATCCTGGGCTTTTCCAATTAGTATCCAATCAGTTATTCCAGCATGTGGCAGACCAGGTTGATAAGAGGTACTTGATTAGATGCAGTTATATTGAAATCTACAATGAAAAGATCAATGACCTCCTGGATAAGAGCAATCAGGGTTTAACTATAAGAGAAGATATCAAAGGAAATGTGCTGCTTGATGCAAGGGAAGCTGTCGTAGACAATGTTGATAAAGTTATGGAGAACATGATGCAGGGCAATAAGATCAGACGAGTTGCAGCTACTCGCATGAATGAGAGGTCATCTCGATCACACACGATTTTCCGGATTATTCTGGAGTCGAAAGATGCCAATCAGAAAGATGGACCTGTACATATAAGCTACCTTAACTTAATGGACTTAGCTGGTTCTGAGAGAGTTTCTCTGACGAAAGCTGCTGGTGAGCGTCTTAAAGAGGGGGCTAACATAAACAAATCTTTGTCAGTATTAGGAAATGTGATAAGGCAACTAAGCGAGGGGAAGGAGTTTATCAGTTATCGCGATTCGAAATTGACTAGACTGCTCTCACAGGCTCTTGGCGGTAATGCCAAATCATTGATTATCGGGAATGTTACTTTAGCTGCAGAGGAGGAGACTAGATCTACACCAGAATTCGCCCAAAGCACTAAAACTGTCAAAAATAAAACGAAAGTAAACATCTTGTCAGCTACAGAAGAGACACTTCAAGGATATCAGAACTTGACTCGCGATCTCGAAACTCGGCTCAAAAAGCAGGCAATTAAGCTAAAAGAGATGGATAAAAGCAAACAAGAGTATCTGCTCGAGATAGAAAGACTAAAAACGGAAGTATCTATTGTCGGGCGCTTTCAAATGGGAGCCTCGGCATCAACACCGAAAAAAACATTAAGACGTCATACTTTTGGACACTATGGCAACGTATCACCTAAAAAAGCATCCCTAGGGTATATGCCATTGAAAAATTATCCACCCAAAGAAGAATCATCCGGACGTGAAATGAGGCCTATTCAAGAAGAGACATATGAGGAGGCACTAGCCGAAGCAGAATCTGTGATAGCTGAAGACGTGCAAGTGTACTTAAAAGACAACTCAAAGAACTGGAAGAATCTTTCAATGAGCTTAGAGAATTCACTAAACTAGATAATCAGCTGGAGATTTTGGACCTGAAGAAACAGCTCACAGAAGCCAATTCTAAATTCGATCGTTACAGTCAGGAACTCCGCCAAGTAACGGATGCGTACAACGAAGAAATAGAAAGAGTTCAAAAAAATTCTCAAAAAGCGCAAGAATTTCATCGACTTGCAATACAGACTCGATTTTCTGGAAAAAAATAATAAAAAGACTAAAAACATACGAGTCAGAAATAGAGATGCTGCGTACTCAACTGAAGAACCTAGGAAGATCAGAGAGCCCTAAACCATCTCTTGAAGCTCAAAATATTGAGTCAAAAAAGAAGGTTGCAGACTTAGAAGCTATGCTTGACGCTGAGTACGAAGATATGCAACATTCTTTAAGTGCTGCTGCACAAACTGATGTAACGATGTCACACATTGCTGAACTGCAAGATGAAATTGGCTTCCTAAAAGAACTTGAATCTAAACTGAGAAATGACGTAAAGAGTCTGATGGACGAGAGTAACCAACGTGAGGTCAACCACTCATTTAAAATCTCAGATATACGATGCCATAATGATTCTACTATAAAAGAGCTTCAGGATCAAATGGCTGAACTGGAATGCCAAAACGAAATCTGGATTATGAAAAAGGACGACGAAATCAGAAAATTGCAACAACTAATTACAAACCCGAAGCAGGCTGGCACTTAACCAGAACCACCTGTGCAGGAAGACGTTGCATTTTATAGGGAGCAAGTTGAGTTCTCCCAGAACATGTACAAAAATGAGATAATAGGTGGAGAGTTACGTATAAACCATAGAGAAAATCTTCAGGCAGTTAAACTAGAAATATGTCTACCCTTGTTTAGTGTTTACGATTATTGCAGGGTTTGGACAAAGTTTAGGGCTGATCCCAGTGCTCACAGTGTACAATTTTCAGCTAATAAATCTTGAATTCTGAGGTAACAAAATCAACTAGAACTCTGAAAAAGTGATTTATCAGAAATCATGCCCTTACTTCCATGATAAGAGGGATTCGTAAAAATTATAAGCAGGTTGTGGCTTATTATCTAGTAAAAGATACAAGAATCCCAGATCTGAAAACGATTATTGTTCATGTGATCACAAACTAGCAGCGACTTGGTTTGTGCGTTGTTGGCACTATTTCTAATCAGGGCGCAACGATCAAAAACGCACTTGAGACGATTTGCTCGGAGAATACTCACGGATCAAGTCCATTCCATTTTATAGTCAATGCTCAGAGTATTTCTACAATTTGTGATGAACCACATTTATTCAAAAATGGATGAAATGCTCTTATTGACATTAATATGAAAGTGAAGAAGCTGCACAGATTGAACATGTCTAGAAATCATATAATGTTGATCAGCAAACAAGACCATACAAAGAGCTATGTAAATTGAAACCCAGCCACTTTGATTTTATAGATTCGTTCAAGAATATAGAAATTAATCCTTTAATGATATCGTCGGATGATTCGAGCTTTCTCAGTTATGTGGTGGGGGTCCCGTGACTTCTCATACGGTATGAGCACGTATACCTCAAACCACAGTTTAATTTAAACATCACAATTGTTGGTTTGTTGACTTTGCGGTCAAATTTGATCCGAGGATGTCAGTTGCGTGTACGATTTGAACTTCCTTCACAATGGATTTTTTCGTTGTTGACGGATGAACAATACACTATAGACTACGCCGAGGACGACGCTGCTATCGATCAACCTGAACAACTTCCTATGGGCGACCTCGCTATGCCTATGGAAAAAACATGTACAATTGGTCAAAACGAGCGCCTGCAACTGGTCGATTATTACGCATTTACCTGAACTAAAGTCCGTGGCAACCAATTTGGAAAATAATAACCCTGTGACTCGAGAAATGCCGATAAATTTCTCCAAATACGTGAAATTTTCGAGACACTCATAGAGAACTGTCGAAATTGTTATATTTCGGGTGAGTCCCCTACAAAATACGAGATGCTCGTGGGCCGATGTCCTTCCTGTGCCTACAAGAAAACTAAACCGAATAAGTATGGACTGATGATGCAAAGACTCACCACTACCTGCTCAATGCTTTCGTCTATACGAACAGAAATATCACAGCAGATGACTGGTTCACGTCAGTAGAATTACATGTAGAATTGCGCATCAACCAACTGACCTATGTCGGCAGGAAGCGTAAAAATAAGTAACAAGTACCCCAACATGTAGTTCCAAATAAGAAGGAAACACAGCCAGGTACTTCTAAGTTTATGTTGTACAGCCTTAGAGTAGTATCTTCCAAAACCAAATACACATGTTCTCGTATAGCAATCTATGCAGCATGATAACAAAATAGTAGAGGAATCAAAGAAACCTGATAAGATCCTATATTATTTTTATAACACTATGAAGGCGGGGGGTAATGCATTAGATCGGAAGTGTGTAAATTACAATACTGGTTAGAGAACGAGAAGATGGCCTTGTGCTATTTGGTATCCAACCAGCTTCTGTAAATTCCTTTTTTTTTCAGTCTGGGACTGAAAGTTCCATTAGGCGACGAAATTTTATTGTTCCCCTGAGGCAAACTCTAATTTAACTTCGTATGAGAGGACGTTTATCAGATCCAAGACTTCCTAGGGAGCTTCGTTCAGCCATGCAAAGAATCCTAAATTACCAACGACGAATAAAGTAAGCCGTCTACTTCTCAGCCCAGAGTTCTCGATCCTGATGCAGTTGTTAAAGAAAAAAAACGACGTAGGTGTTACATGACAATACACAATGAAAAAAATGTTCTACAATCTGTAATAAGTATGTAAAGTCACAGCGCACTTACATTGTTTCGTGAAAAGTGATAAATGTTAATTATTGTATGTTTCCTTATACGAGAAAGTATTTGTTTTTGTTGTAGAATATCAACACCAAATATGTTGTTAAATGGCCCATTTTGTTAGTTTTTTTATGTTCATATTACAGTTCAAGTTTCGAGGATTATATTTATTGCATTACTCATCTTCAATGGGGTATTTTCGTTTTTAGACAATAAACAGTTTTCATGTAAGAGTGTCTTATGCGTACAAACCTGTTGTACACATGGCTAAAAACAGTAATGGCATTTCAGATGTTGATAGTAAGATCCGGTGGATAACCTGTTTTGCGAGATTAGACGTGGGATTTCCAACACGAACACCATCTGTTTATTTGAAGCATTAAAAACTGTAATAATCAACAATTTCAGTTTTCCATTGACAATAATGAAGAATTATGAAGGCGATTCATGTAAGGCACTAGGTAACTTCGCGTTGCTTTTAGAAGAGTATTGTCTGAATAGACAACAGTTACCTTGTGATTCTTCACCGAGCTGCATTTTTCAAGTTGAAAAATCGGGTGCTGAAAGTGATGGATCTATAGATTTGTGAGAATTTGCTGCTGCTTCAACTTCTTTTTGTAATAACAATAACAGTCTATATGAAATTTAACAATTCTGTTTCTTCTTTGATTTTGAGTCACCCTGTAAATGTAGCTCTACTAAACTATCGGACCGCATTCATAGCCTACAAGAGAAAAAAATCTTCTATACTGGAAAGGAGGAAAAAAAGAATGTATCAACCTGATACATCTGCCCCTCTTTATAACCCGTGAAATAGCCCTAGTTCTAATTAAATTTCAGTTCAAGCTTCCAAAATGACTTCCAACAATATTAAAGTAGCCACAAAGATCAGACCAATGATCCACCGCGAAGTAGCCGATGGTCTAGAGCGTCTTTGGAACGTAAGAGTAAACTGCATATGGGAAGCCGATGAAAGTAGTCGCCATGGAGAGGTTTATATATTCGACCATGTATTTAATCAGGAATGTACAAATTCAGATGTATATGGATCTGTAGTAAAACCTTTAGTCGATTCCTTCATGGAAGGTTTCAATGCCACAATATTTGCATATGGCCAAACATCTTCTGGCAAAACACACACCATTTTGGGCAATAAAACAGATCCTGGGCTTTTCCAATTAGTATCCAATCAGTTATTCCAGCATGTGGCAGACCAGGTTGATAAGAGGTACTTGATTAGATGCAGTTATATTGAAATCTACAATGAAAAGATCAATGACCTCCTGGATAAGAGCAATCAGGGTTTAACTATGAGAAGATATCAAAGGAAATGTGCTGCTTGATGCAAGGGAAGCTGTCGTAGACAATGTTGATAAAGTTATGGAGAACATGATGCAGGGCAATAAGATCAGACGAGTTGCAGCTACTCGCATGAATGAGAGGTCATCTCGATCACACACGATTTTCCGGATTATTCTGGAGTCGAAAGATGCCAATCAGAAAGATGGACCTGTACATATAAGCTACCTTAACTTAATGGACTTAGCTGGTTCTGAGAGAGTTTCTCTGACGAAAGCTGCTGGTGAGCGTCTTAAAGAGGGGGCTAACATAAACAAATCTTTGTCAGTATTAGGAAATGTGATAAGGCAACTAAGCGAGGGGAAGGAGTTTATCAGTTATCGCGATTCGAAATTGACTAGACTGCTCTCACAGGCTCTTGGCGGTAATGCCAAATCATTGATTATCGGGAATGTTACTTTAGCTGCAGAGGAGGAGACTAGATCTACACCAGAATTCGCCCAAAGCACTAAAACTGTCAAAAATAAAACGAAAGTAAACATCTTGTCAGCTACAGAAGAGACACTTCAAGGATATCAGAACTTGACTCGCGATCTCGAAACTCGGCTCAAAAAGCAGGCAATTAAGCTAAAAGAGATGGATAAAAGCAAACAAGAGTATCTGCTCGAGATAGAAAGACTAAAAACGGAAGTATCTATTGTCGGGCGCTTTCAAATGGGAGCCTCGGCATCAACACCGAAAAAAACATTAAGACGTCATACTTTTGGACACTATGGCAACGTATCACCTAAAAAAGCATCCCTAGGGTATATGCCATTGAAAAATTATCCACCCAAAGAAGAATCATCCGGACGTGAAATGAGGCCTATTCAAGAAGAGACATATGAGGAGGCACTAGCCGAAGCAGAATCTGTGATAGCTGAAGACGTGCAAGTGTACTTAAAAGACAACGCAAAGAACTGGAAGAATCTTTCAATGAGCTTAGAGAATTCACTAAACTAGATAATCAGCTGGAGATTTTGGACCTGAAGAAACAGCTCACAGAAGCCAATTCTAAAATCGATCGTTACAGTCAGGAACTCCGCCAAGTAACGGATGCGTACAACGAAGAAATAGAAAGAGTTCAAAAAAATTCTCAAAAAGCGCAAGAATTTCATCGACTTGCAATACAGACTCGATTTTCTGGAAAAAAATAATAAAAAGACTAAAAACATACGAGTCAGAAATAGAGATGCTGCGTACTCAACTGAAGAACCTAGGAAGATCAGAGAGCCCTAAACCATCTCTTGAAGCTCAAAATATTGAGTCAAAAAAGAAGGTTGCAGACTTAGAAGCTATGCTTGACGCTGAGTACGAAGATATGCAAGATTCTTTAAGTGCTGCTACACAAACTGATGTAACGATGTCACACATTGCTGAACTGCAAGATGAAATTGGCTTCCTAAAAGAACTTGAATCTAAACTGAGAAATGACGTAAAGAGTCTGATGGACGAGAGTAACCAACGTGAGGTCAACCACTCATTTAAAATCTCAGATATACGATGCCATAATGATTCTACTATAAAAGAGCTTCAGGATCAAATGGCTGAACTGGAATGCCAAAACGAAATCTGGATTATGAAAAGTGCCCCTCTTTATAACCCGTGAAATAGCCCTAGTTCTAATTAAATTTCAGTTCAAGCTTCCAAAATGACTTCCGACAATATTAAAGTAGCCACAAAGATCAGACCAATGATCCACCGCGAAGTAGCCGATGGTCTAGAGCGTCTTTGGAACGTAAGAGTAAACTGCATATGGGAAGCCGATGAAAGTAGTCGCCATGGAGAGGTTTATATATTCGACCATGTATTTAAGCAGGAATGTACAAATTCAGATGTATATGGATCTGTAGTAAAACCTTTAGTCGATTCCTTCATGGAAGGTTTCAATGCCACAATATTTGCATATGGCCAAACATCTTCTGGCAAAACACACACCATTTTGGGCAATAAACAGATCCTGGGCTTTTCCAATTAGTATCCAATCAGTTATTCCAGCATGTGGCAGACCAGGTTGATAAGAGGTACTTGATTAGATGCAGTTATATTGAAATCTACAATGAAAAGATCAATGACCTCCTGGATAAGAGCAATCAGGGTTTAACTATAAGAGAAGATATCAAAGGAAATGTGCTGCTTGATGCAAGGGAAGCTGTCGTAGACAATGTTGATAAAGTTATGGAGAACATGATGCAGGGCAATAAGATCAGACGAGTTGCAGCTACTCGCATGAATGAGAGGTCATCTCGATCACACACGATTTTCCGGATTATTCTGGAGTCGAAAGATGCCAATCAGAAAGATGGACCTGTACATATAAGCTACCTTAACTTAATGGACTTAGCTGGTTCTGAGAGAGTTTCTCTGACGAAAGCTGCTGGTGAGCGTCTTAAAGAGGGGGCTAACATAAACAAATCTTTGTCAGTATTAGGAAATGTGATAAGGCAACTAAGCGAGGGGAAGGAGTTTATCAGTTATCGCGATTCGAAATTGACTAGACTGCTCTCACAGGCTCTTGGCGGTAATGCCAAATCATTGATTATCGGGAATGTTACTTTAGCTGCAGAGGAGGAGACTAGATCTACACCAGAATTCGCCCAAAGCACTAAAACTGTCAAAAATAAAACGAAAGTAAACATCTTGTCAGCTACAGAAGAGACACTTCAAGGATATCAGAACTTGACTCGCGATCTCGAAACTCGGCTCAAAAAGCAGGCAATTAAGCTAAAAGAGATGGATAAAAGCAAACAAGAGTATCTGCTCGAGATAGAAAGACTAAAAACGGAAGTATCTATTGTCGGGCGCTTTCAAATGGGAGCCTCGGCATCAACACCGAAAAAAACATTAAGACGTCATACTTTTGGACACTATGGCAACGTATCACCTAAAAAAGCATCCCTAGGGTATATGCCATTGAAAAATTATCCACCCAAAGAAGAATCATCCGGACGTGAAATGAGGCCTATTCAAGAAGAGACATATGAGGAGGCACTAGCCGAAGCAGAATCTGTGATAGCTGAAGACGTGCAAGTGTACTTAAAAGACAACTCAAAGAACTGGAAGAATCTTTCAATGAGCTTAGAGAATTCACTAAACTAGATAATCAGCTGGAGATTTTGGACCTGAAGAAACAGCTCACAGAAGCCAATTCTAAATTCGATCGTTACAGTCAGGAACTCCGCCAAGTAACGGATGCGTACAACGAAGAAATAGAAAGAGTTCAAAAAAATTCTCAAAAAGCGCAAGAATTTCATCGACTTGCAATACAGACTCGATTTTCTGGAAAAAAATAATAAAAAGACTAAAAACATACGAGTCAGAAATAGAGATGCTGCGTACTCAACTGAAGAACCTAGGAAGATCAGAGAGCCCTAAACCATCTCTTGAAGCTCAAAATATTGAGTCAAAAAAGAAGGTTGCAGACTTAGAAGCTATGCTTGACGCTGAGTACGAAGATATGCAACATTCTTTAAGTGCTGCTGCACAAACTGATGTAACGATGTCACACATTGCTGAACTGCAAGATGAAATTGGCTTCCTAAAAGAACTTGAATCTAAACTGAGAAATGACGTAAAGAGTCTGATGGACGAGAGTAACCAACGTGAGGTCAACCACTCATTTAAAATCTCAGATATACGATGCCATAATGATTCTACTATAAAAGAGCTTCAGGATCAAATGGCTGAACTGGAATGCCAAAACGAAATCTGGATTATGAAAAGGACGACGAAATCAGAAAATTGCAACAACTAATTACAAACCCGAAGCAGGCTGGCACTTAACCAGAACCACCTGTGCAGGAAGACGTTGCATTTTATAGGGAGCAAGTTGAGTTCTCCCAGAACATGTACAAAAATGAGATAATGGTGGAGAGTTACGTATAAACCATAGAGAAAATCTTCAGGCAGTTAAACTAGAAATATGTCTACCCTTGTTTAGTGTTTACGATTATTGCAGGGTTTGGACAAAGTTTAGGGCTGATCCCAGTGCTCACAGTGTACAATTTTCAGCTTAAATCTTGAATTCTGAGGTAACAAAATCAACTAGAACTCTGAAAAAGTGATTTATCAGAAATCATGCCCTTACCATGATAAGAGGGATTCGTAAAAATTATAAGCAGGTTGTGGCTTATTATCTAGTAAAAGATACAAGAATCCCAGATCTGAAAACGATTATTGTTCATGTGATCACAAACTAGCAGCGACTTGGTTTGTGCGTTGTTGGCACTATTTCTAATCAGGGCGCAACGATCAAAAACGCACTTGAGACGATTTGCTCGGAAATACTCACGGATCAAGTCCATTCCATTTTATAGTCAATGCTCAGAGTATTTCTACAATTTGTGATGAACCACATTTATTCAAAAATGGATGAAATGCTCTTATTGACATTAATATGAAAGTGAAGAAGCTGCACAGATTGAACATGTCTAGAAATCATATAATGTTGATCAGCAAACAAGACCATACAAAGAGCTATGTAAATTGAAACCCAGCCACTTTGATTTTATAGATTCGTTCAAGAATATAGAAATTAATCCTTTAATGATATCGTCGGATGATTCGAGCTTTCTCAGTTATGTGGTGGGGGTCCCGTGACTTCTCACGGTATGAGCACGTATACCTCAAACCACAGTTTAATTTAAAATCACAATTGTTGGTTTGTTGACTTTGCGGTCAAATTTGATCCGAGGATGTCAGTTGCGTGTACGATTTGAACTTCCTTCACAATGGATTTTTTCGTTGTTGACGGATGAACAATACACTATAGACTACGCCGAGGACGACGCTGCTATCGATCAACCTGAACAACTTCCTATGGGCGACCTCGCTATGCCTATGGAAAAAACA